TATGAGACTTTTTTTAAAGGCTATTTCCTATCTGCTATTCATTTTAACAACTATATCCTCACTCCCTGCAAAGTTATAACAAACATGAGCAGGCCTCTAAATATATGTACATACACACACACAGGAAGTACAGCTTAAATGCAGTTTTTTCCATACCTTCGAAAGTATCAAATCGCCTAACCATCGCACACAATCAACATAATTCCTATGTATGTCTCTGGTGGAAAAGTCAGGAAAATGGATTTTCTGGGAAATAAATGGCCTGAAGGAAGAATGGAAATAAAGTTAAAAAAAAAAAAAAAAAAAGAATCACACTATTTTTAGAAGAGGAATTATAAACTTTTTACTAAAAAAACAAAAAACAAAAAAAAACCTTTTCACTTCAGGATTTCTTTACTTTAGGACTGGAGACTGAACCCAGGGCCTCGTGTGCTGGTCAAGTGTTCTACCACTGAGCTGTATCCCCAACCCAACTTACAAAACTTCTACCTGCTCTTCACTATATATAGCTTTAAATTAAGCTTAACCAATGAAAAAGAAATCTGATTACAGAGATGAAAATATCTCATACATTTATCTACCTACACTTAATCCTTTAAAATTAAGCATTAGCTGTCTATTGAAGTCATCTAATCTCAAGTATTTCAAGATAGTCATCTTTATAGGAACAATGAACATCATTCCAAAATCTGCTATAAATTAAGTTTAGATGAAAGTCCTGCCTTGAGCAGTAATTTCTGTAAATGCTGCAGGAATTTGACACAAAGACTTTCCCAAATGTCTGCATTTAGGAAACAAAAATGTGGCTCCATTTTTTCCTTACAGGTATTTGTGATATGACAATAAACAAGACAAGCTGCTACCAATTCTGGGTTTAATGCAATTCTGGGGTTTTTTGATGCTGAGGATCAAACTTAAAACCTCTACAACTGAGCTACACAATCCTCCCTGTGACCCAGGTTTTATACTGAAATAACTGTAGGTATATGATATACCATGGATTATATTAAGCAAATCACATGTCCTGTTTTTTGTAAAAAGCATATTTGGGCTGCATCATCTCCCTCAATCCTTCCAATTCAAATTCTGGGATCTTTTGTTTGTTAAAACATTAAAATGTTATAATTTGATACCGATTTTTAATAGTCAAAATTATATTAAATGCTTTTTATAGTTAAGCACATATTATAACCTTACAGTTAAATCTCTCTTAAGGACAAGATCGGCTTAACTCAATGTTATTTTTCTGTAAACACTGAAATGTGTAACTTGTGTTCACTCTAGAGATCTAAAAACTGATTTAAAAATACAAATTTAATGTTGTAGTAGCCCCTGGCACTAGAAATCTGAAGATTCTACTAATTCTTAAAGACCACTGATGTCTGCTGAGTGCACTCAGATATTTACTGAGGCTGAGAAATTTTACTAACAATGTATTAATAATCTGTCTTGAAAACCAGAAAATATTTGGGAAGGTGAGGCAGGAGGATTGGCACGAGTTTGAAGCCATACTGGGTTACAAAGTAAAACCCTGTCTCAATTAAAAAAAAAGAAAAGAAAACCAGAAAATTAACTCTAGCTGCTTGCTAAGACAAATGTACAGAGTAAACAAAAGCAGACATCTGATGTTTACAGTGAAGTGTTAATGACAGCTTGATTTCCTAAGTCACTGCATTAAGACTTGAGGCACTGAGCTACATCCCTAGCACATGTGTATTTTTATAAAATTTTTGAGACAGAATCTTATTAAATTGATCAGGCTCCACTCAAACTTCGATACCCCTCTGGTTTAGCCTTCCAGAGTCCTGAGATGACAGGATTCAATCCCTAAAACCACCACAAAAATAAACAAATAAATAAATGAATAAATAAATAAAACTGAGGTGTCTAAAGGTTTTTAAACTTAGGGTTTATTTAACTACATATCTATTTAATAGCACAACAAAGCATATTAACTGTTACCTGTTAGTTTTATTTGGATTATAGTCATAAGATTCTTTAATTGCATTCATCATTCTCTTTGAATTGATCCTCCAAAGTTTAAGAGAGTGATCCATACCACAGGACATTATTTTTTCACCCAAAAGATCATAATCCTGTATGTAAAACAGAAAAGTTTAAAGTATATAAATTACAGACCCAAACTATCAAATTTTCACTGGTTATAAAATACAATGAAAACTGTAACTACACTTTGGGTTCCATGTATGTAGGCTGTAACACAGTGTACTAATTTCAAAATTTTAAGTTTTAATTGGAGAGTACACGAAATTTTCCTAATATGGAATGCTTTCTTGCCTTCTTGGAAATTACTTGAATTTAGTTTTATTTACTCAATTATATTTAAATATTTATTTTGCTTAATTTTTAAAGTAAATCAAATGCAGATGTAAAATAATTATTCTAATACAAAAAGCTGAACAGTTACACTACTTGTTCAGTAACAATCAAAAAGTAAAACTGACATTTGCATCTGACACTATATCAGTCTTCAACAGCTCAAATTTTACTTTATTTTATACTCATAATTCAAAACACTTCAGTTAAACTGGTTTTTTTTTGGTGGTTTTTTTGTTTTGTTTTGTTTTGTTTTTGTCTTTTTGAGCAGGTCTCTCTCAGGCTGGCCCTGAACTCACTTTGTAGCCCAGGCTGGCCTTGAACTTCCAGGGATCCTCCTGCCTCAGCCTCCTGAGTGCTAGGATTACAGGCATGAGCCACTATCCCCTATCTTTCATGTCTTCATTGTAATAAACAGTAAAGAGTTTATTGAAAGAGGGTTATTTCCTATACTAACCTAGATATTTTGCATTAATCCAATTCTTGGAAGTTTTACAAGAAAATGAGGCCTGGTCTTTACTAAATTCACAAGTCTAGTTGCTGCTACTTCTAATTATCTCATTGTCAGTGGCAACAAGACATCCTTAAGAGTCAGACTCCAATTTAGAGTTCTTAATAAAGGACAGTACACTTGGCTTTCATGCACACTACTGCCACTGTAGAAAATTCAGGTTGATGGATATTTTAGCATAGCTATGATTCTCACAAAGGCACATAAATTTCAACTGTAGCATTATTTTAGCACCTTCAATTAAAATGCCATGTCTCAAAATATGATGCCCCTTTAATTTAATAGAAAAAAAGTGAAGGATGTACTGTATATAATTACTAAAATCAATGAGCCCACATGGGACTTTAATAAAGAAAAAATACTGTAAAAAGTTAGAACTTGACAAAAAACACAATAAATGTGTTATAATACATTAACATAAATATTTGCTTTTCTTTAAAAATAATCAACTACTGGGTCTTGTACAGTACTATACCAAAGAAAAGAATTGAAAAAAGATTATATAAAACTCAGTGTAAGCCTAATAAAATACACCCTAGAAGTGGATAACTTACACCGACTTCAAAGAAAATGCTCCCTAACGCCTAATTAGTATAATTTGTTTTCCTTTAGTAACTGAGAAACAGAAGAAAAAAAAACAAACAGTTGGTGATTTTAGATTAAAGGAAAGGAATACATTCATAACATTCTTCTGTGAAAATCCAGGTACTGAGAGAGATACAAGTATAGGTAATACTTTTGTGTGTGTGTGGCTTTTTGAGATAGGGTCTCACTATGTAGCTCAGGCTGCTGCCTCAGCCTCCCAAGTGCTGGGATTACAGGCATGCACCACCACACCAACTCTAAGTAATTCCTAAAGAACAAAAAGCAGAAGTCTTGACTTCCTCCATTCCTTCACCTGTTAAGGATAAAATCTTGTGTGTCAAACATAAAGGAAATGACTACCTGGTATGCTGTATAAAACAAACATGTTTTCTACTCAGGAAAGAGTTCTATAGGAATTTTCACATATACATCAACCTGAGGTCACTGTCCTATAACTTACAGCACTTAGAACTTCATCTCTGTGCCCTTCTACACCTCCAAATATTGCCACCAGAGTGTCCGTCTGGATATTCCATAATCGTAAGGCATGATCTAGCATAAACATACAAAAAATTAAGATGAATTTTTGACATTCACTTTTCTGTCAACTTTCAGTACCTCCTTAAATAACAATGAAAGTTTAGACTGAAGTTATGCACAGTAAAGACTAAGAATGAAATCTATATTCGACAGCCACTTAAAATACTTGTATCATATGTAGAACAAAAAATATGTGACTATACTGTGACACCATTTTACAGTAAAATAGTCCTCCTTTGGTGGAATATAGCTCTGCAGTACAGCACAAAGCTGTGTGCATGTGTGTGTGTGTGTATAGCTGTAATCTGAACAATCTTCTTTTCTTTCATTTCTTTTGAGGCCATGGGGATTCAAGGGAACCAGGCAACCGTGCTGCTGAGTTATAACCCCAGCCCCAGTCTTTTCTATTAAACATTAACAAACAATGAACAGCAAAAGAAACATGTACAACTTGCAATATAACAATGTCCATACTGTAAATGAGTATTAACATATTGTATAAATAATTCCAAGTGGAGAGTGAAAATTAACATTGTTGTAAAAATGATACACACACACACAGCTCTCCAAGGATTGGTTACTAACTTTATGTTTAGCATTTTGAGGATGCCACACTATGTCTTCAAAGAGGTTACATTTTACATTCTCACTAACAATGTCTGAACAAGTTCCAGCTTCTCCATATCCCAGGTTTGAGAGGAGTGAAGTGGTCTCAGGTGCTTCTGACCTGAATTTGCTTTAAAATGATTTTGAGGGGCTGGGGATTTAGCTCAGCGGCAAAAGCGCCTTCCTGGCAAGCGCAAGGTCGTGAGTTCGGTTCCCGGTACCGGAGAAAAACCAAAAAAAATAAAAAAATAAAAAAAATAAAATGATTTTGAACAGTGTGCTCACTGCCACATGGACGTGTTTTTCAGGAATATGAGTACTCAGAACTTTTGCCCACTTTTCCATTGGTTTTCTTTTTATTGTAGAGCTCTCAGATTTCCAGATACAAATCCCTCATTAGTTGTATTTTTCCTGTCCATAGATATCACTGTCGTTTGAATCTGGAATGTCCCCTGAAGATTCCTGTGTTGAGACTTGGTCCGCAATGCAACAATGATTAAAGATAAGGCTTGGGAAAATGGCTGGATCAGGAAGGCACTGACCTCATAACAGCTTAAGCCACTGATGGGTTACTGCGAGGCAACAGAAATTTAGGTGGGACCTAGTTTAAGAGAGTGGATCTTTAGCAGCATGATCTTGGGGATTACATCCCAAGCCCTGTCTTTTCATCCACTGTGCTTCCTGTTTGCCAGGAGGTGAGCAACCTCCTCAGCCACAAGCTGTTACCATCGTCACTGTCTGTCTTGCCTTAGGCCCAAAGCAATGGAGCCAGCTGATCACGGACTAAAACCTCTAAAACTGTGGGCCAAAATAAATGTTCTCCTTTAATTTTCTGTTATTTTGTCACAGTGATGAAAAGTTAATACACTGATCTTTTTACTTTTTTGATGGTATCATTTACAGCAAAATTCCTATTTATTTTGAGAAAGCTGTTTGATTCTTTAAATCCCCTTGCTAGCATAATAATGGAAGATCATGGTTAAAGTTGTGATGTTTAGACACTGTAGCCTACTTATACAGGAATATATAAACCCAACTACTATTATCAAGAGACAAAGAAAAGTAATTGGCTGTTTCAAGAGGTGGTGTTTCCAAATTTAGGCCTTGGTAGTTACAAAAAAAAGACACAAACATTTTCATATAGTAAGTTTGCTGTTTTTGTGCTGAGGCTCAAACCCAAGGCTTCTGCACATACTGCAAGTGTTCTACTACTGAGCTACATGCAGCCTAAGTGTCTGAATTTGAAGACATCCTTTAATCTGGGTAGTTTGTAGGAGAGGTTATAAATTGGATAAGACAGAGAAAAGAATAAACTTGACTAGAACAAAACAGCAGAAAAGGCAATCAAGAACACAATGCAGAAATAAGAATTGCACAACTCATTTCAGAAAGCTCAGAAATGATTAAAAATGACTAAGAGGTCTGTCTAAACCCAGAATAAACAATGGCAATATAGGCACGAAGAGCAATGCAATGCTTTCTCTTTATGGGAAATACTTCAAAGAATTTATGCTGGGAAACAGCATTTTAAAGAATTCTACAGGAAATTCTTTATAAAACAAAAGCTTAGGCCAGGGTGTGGTGGTGCACACTTGGTAATCCCAGCACTCAGGAGGCTTAAGCAAGGGAATCAATGCAAGTTTGAGGCTAGGCTGGGCTACAAAATGAGTTCAAGGCCAGCCTGAACTGCATAATGAAACCCTGTCTCAAAAAGACAAAAGACAAGAAAAAAAAATGCTTTGTTAAAACAGAAAAGCAGTAAGGATTTTCACATGCAGTATTTCTTACTACATGATTGGCAGAGCTACAGTAACTAGTAAAACGATTTGTAAAACTATCTTTAAAACTTCTTAGTAATATGGTAAATAGGGAGGGTAACATGTATTTTGTTCTCAGTACCAATTATTTTACTAATGTCTGATGTTAACTGGTATACGCATTTCATGGTTCCTTTCTCGAATGGGTGACATGATTTTCTATTAAAATATGCTATTACAATTTTTTCTTAATTTGGCTTTTTTCCATTTTAGAACACTATCTGACTCTTTAAAAAAATTATACTCCCTCCAAAACAGGACTGAAGAACCATTTACTTCTCTTACCTTTACTTACTGACAGGAGAAGATTAGGATCTCTTGGGTGGAATTTCAACTCATTGATAGCATTTCCATGGCCAACATAGTGCTACAATAAATTTAAACATTTTAAATTTCATAGCTCAAAAACCAACACATTGCCTTTCAGCATTTCTATTCATTAAGGGAATAGAAAAAGTTTCACTTAAGGGGCTGGGGATTTAGCTCAGCGGCAAAAGCGCCTGCCTGGCAAGCGCAAGGTCGTGAGTTCGGTTCCCGGTACCGGAGAAAAACCAAAAAACCAAAAAAAAAAAAGTTTCACTTAAAGTAGTGGTTTTCAACCTTAGCTGCAAATCAGAATTGCCCAGGAAACTGAAAGAAAAAATATGCTCAAATTTCACTTGTAGACAATCTTAACAGACTGAAGTAACACAGACTGAAGAATAGGATTTAAATTATCCTCAGGTGCTTCTACTGTGCATTAAACATAAATAGAACCAACTAAAGTGATTTATAAAACCTCTCTTCATAGCAACATCCTAGCCTGGGCTTTACCTTCTATTTATTTCACTAGAAGATGCCCTTCAATCTGTAACCACCAGCTTGGAAAACCTGCTATGGCTCATTTAAAGCCTCTCAAAGGGGCCAGGGAAATAGCTCAGTGGCACAAGCGCCTGCTTGACAAGCGCAAGGTCCTGAGTTCGATCCCCAGTACCAAAAAAATTAAATAAATAAATAAATAAATAAATAAAGCCTCTCAAAGCAAACTAAGCAAGGAAGGGAATGATTTAAGAGCATCCCATCTGTTCCTTAATTTGTATTACCCAGTGTCATAAAAGCCTCAAAAGACCTGTCTTTTAAAAAGCAGTAAGTGAGGTACAAATCAAATCAGAAATCATTGTCTACGGCCATACCACCTTGAACGTGCTCCAATCTATTTTTTTTTTTTTTTTTTTTGGTTTTTTTTTCCAGTACCAGGAATCGAACTCATGACCTTACACTTGCCAGGGAGGTGCTATGCTGGCAAATGCTAAATCCCTAGCCCACCATGCCCCAATCTCATCTGATCTCGGAAGCTAAGCACAGTCAGGCATGGTTAGTACGTGGATGGGAGAAATTGTAGTCACGGATTAGTGACTATTAGTTAAAATTTTAATTTTAAACTATTAGTTTAAAATTCAACATAGTTAAATTTTCACAGATATGCATTCAAAAGCAGCTCTACAATTTAACCAGAAAACCCACCTTTATACACTGCATTGTTATGGGATTAATTATCCTTATTATGCCTCTGGATCCAGCTACAGCCAGCAAAGGATGACTTGTATTGCTATCATAGGTCCATGCACAAGTATAAAAGTTTTCATCAGCCTAAGAAATGCCACAGTTAAGAAATAATGTGGTTTTCAATAGTGTTTACTATTTATTGAACTAGTAGTGCTGAAACAGCCCACGGACTATGGGTAAACCAGTGGAGGTAGGTGTTACAATTAAATGTAATTTACAAAACCAGGTATTTAGTCCTGAGGCTCTACTTTGCTGACTATCAATCTCTAAATAAGTAACTATTCCATTTCCTTCCTTCTCCTGTGTAAGGTCTTCCTAATGTGGCAACAGTTCACTCCTTTCCATATCATCTAGAAGACTGACTATCCTTCCCTAGTCTTCTTTTTTAAGTTTTTCAAATGAATCTAAAAGAAACACTTTATTGCCCAGCTTTTATTACTCTGGCTTTCACAGTTTTTCCTTTTCTTTGTAACTCACACTTTGCAATTTCTCTTTTTCTTTGTAAAGGACATTGTGCAATTTTTTTATTCTCTAAATTTTATGATTATTTTTTCCATCTAGGTTTCACTGATCAAATATTTGGAATGAATGCCAGGCACAGCTTCTGATCACGCCAAGTTCATCATTAAAACTATATCATAAAATTCTAGGCAAGGGTGAAGAAAGACATTTTACCTAGTTTCCTCTAACATTTTCTATGACTGGATTCCTAATGCTCGTCTTCAGCCACCTGCACCTCCCCAACACATCCGCCCATGGATTGCTAAGGGAATCCAAGGATTCCCTTGGGTGATAGTGACATTGAAGGAACAGTGCTAGCTATAGTTCAGGAAGGACAGTAACTTTGAGAAGTTAATTTTGAGTTTTGGTGTATTTCATGAAAATAAACATCTTTGACCAAAGATATTCAAAACCCAGGAAAGGATACATCAGCATCCACATAAGATTGCAATAACCGGATTTCTCCTTGTGAATGACATTCATATAAGGTAACCTAATAAAAACAAAAATACAGTGAACTTCATCTCAAGTATGGAAACCCACTCTGCTTTTAAACATTCTAGTCACAATTACTGTATCTCTTAAATATACAACCGAACCTATTGCTTTTAGCTCCTTTAAGCTTACAAATTCACAGAAGCCATTATAAAACCTAACACATTTTACACAATATCCAGAGTATATTAAGTATTTTAGTAATCATAGTTTCTACTTTCAATTATTTAAACGTGCATTTCATCCATGTAACTCCATCCAAATTTTCAAAGCAAGTAAAAGTAAAAACCCTAAAGTAATGGTAGTTTATGGTAGTTTATCATCTTTTAAAGAAATTGTTAACAAGAGAGTCTGGCATCATAGAGAAATGATGGATATTTAAGGAAGCAGATATAGTTACCTTAATATTAATGTTACACAATGTACACATGGATCAAAACATCACATGATACCCCATACATACATATAATTTTTTATGATGTTATGTATCAATTGTAAGTAAAAAGTCTTTGGACAGTTACAAACCACTAGTAACATACAAAAAAAGTCTACCATTTGCCTAATAATGAATTCTTTTTTCTTAGACACAGCTGATCATATACTTTTTCATGTGTGGTTACCTTTTCATTTGTTATATGCTCTAAAATTAAAAATATACACATTATATACAATTTTGTAACACTGCTTTTTTATAAATTTCTTTCCACTTTTATGATAGCTTACTTAGTCACATTAACAAAACCCTATTAAAATGGTATATTATCTAACTATATTAAATTCAAAAATACCCTCCACATTAATATTCTGAAAAAATTTTTATATGGCTGACAACTAGGTTATGTCTTACAAGGTAATTCCATTTTCTTTCTTCCATTTAAGGATAACCTAACAAGAAAGACTTTTTATAATTCAAACTACCTAACACCCTTCAATGTCATTTTAATTAGAAATCATTTTTGTTAGATGGCTCAGAACACTGCAGTAAGCCTATGCGAGGACAAATTGCACCAATTCTGGTACTATTATGGCCAAGATGGTAAAGTAGTATAACACTAGGTTTAATGTTTAAAAAAGTGGATTCAAAATTAATTAATGGACTACACTGCCTTCTAGAAACAATAACCTCAATCTTTTCATGAAATTAAATCACTCTTCCTATGACTTGTTATTTTCAAAGAATTGGGGAACTAGGCTACATTTCACACAACCTACAGACTAGCTGAAAACCAAGAAAAGCTCTTATCGAAAGTTATTAACTGTAGTGGTTGGGCTGGACAGTTGGGAGTCTGAGGCAGGAGAAGAGGCCAGCCTGGGCTAGATAGTGAATACAAGGCCAGCCTGAGCAACATAGCAAGACCCTGTCTCAAAAGGAGAAAAAAAAAAAAAAAAAACCCACAAATGTCAGTGGTTAACTTTCAAATATTTAGAATTTCAACTGTGTCAAATAGTAAAAGCACCAGCATCTTAAATGCAATTAAAATTCCTTAAAGGAGAGCCCAGGAAAAAACTACCTAAAGTTGGAAGTTTACATTTTAGAAAACATACAAGGATTTAGCCCAGAATGCATAGTACGTGTTTCTACTATTTTTAAACTATAAGGAAAGAAAGTAGTTTAGAAAAATGCTGACATATGACAAATACTGAACTTATAACTCCTATTACCAGGTTAATTTTGACGGAAACAGAACAAAAACACAAGGAAAGAAAAACAAATACAGGAAACCAGTGGTGCATATTAAAAACCATGATCTTTTACTTCTCTAAGAATTTTAGCACAATTACAGAAAAAGCATAAAATTTAATTTACTTAACTAGGTAACTAATAACAGTTCTGATTCACCTCTTTGAACTGAGGGTGGAAGAAGTGACTTTTATGTGTTGAGCTGAGGGTGGAAGAAGGGCTTTTATGTGTTGACAAATCATATGCAATTCATCTATTTCCTTCACATTTTTTCTGAATACATTAATATATTTCTACTCCATTCACGTTCCCTGGAAAGCATGAGGGAATCTTGTTCTCCACTTACTTAGAACTGGACGTAATAAATAAATAAATCTTTGCAATCCACCTCTTGTTTAAATAAAAACTAATGGTTTATGTTAAAATGTCCAGCACTTCTCTCAACCTACTTCTCTCAGTTCAAGATACAGCACTTTTCAGTTCCTTAAAAAGCAAACTCAAACGTTTATTGTGAATAATTAAAACTTCCCAAACTATTTTTTAAATCCAC